GTGTTCAAATGGGGCACTTGCAATTTTTGTGATTGGTTTGGTTTGATTCCTGAAAAAAAAAAAAAATAGGAACGATTCAAGAGCATTTCAATGAACTAATAGACATTGAACATGAAACAAGTAGAACCACAAACATTCGTCTTCCAATCTTTACTGCCAAGCAGAATTCGCAGCAGGATTAAACAACACCTCGCAGTATTCATCGGGCACTTCCAACTCCTGTGATCCATCGTCAGGTTATTGGCGAAATCTGAGATCGCGAAGTCGGGAAAATGCGAACCTGCGGACGGAATCCGCGCGAAGCCTGCGACGTATTAGAGGAGAATGGAAAGTGCCTCCATCACCCCCCCCCTACTTTTTTTCACGTTTTATGGGCGCCGCGGCGAGCACGGCCGAGCCGGTAGCGCCCGCGAAGTGTGCGGGAAATTTGAAAATGTTCCAGCACAGCTCGCGGGCGCCTTGTGTGTGTTGTGCCTGTGATCTCTGTGATCCTTGTGTATGTACTCCTGTGATCCATCGCAGGTTTCGCGAAAATCGCGCAAATCGCGAAAATGAAAGAGCGAAACCTGCGACGGATCGCGAACTCTGACATCAGCCTTAGGGACTTCGGGCATTGCAGTGGTCGAACTGTATTTTATGTTGATGACGACAACGCAGATGAAGTTTGAAATGAAATGCGTCATACGGAATATGGTTTTGAGTGGTTTCTATGTTCCTACGCATATCGGTATTATCGGCCCTTATCAGCCTTATCACTTTTTTCCCCACCAGAACATGTTCCCGTCCCACCCTGTACATCACTTCTTGGAACCAACGCCCACTGCTGCTGGGACGCGCTATGAATTTCGTGACAGAGAGACGGACGTACACACAGACACACACAGACAGACATACTTAGCGAATTATATATAGTAGGGATAATTCGTGTGTTTGCACATCCAGCTGTTTTTGTACATGTTGCGTCAGCTAGCGAAAGCATGACTTGGTCTTCGATGATTTATATTGTATTTCTCTTGTGAAATTGCACCAGTAATGCAGTAATCGAAAGACTTTAACCAATATTTTTTAGCAGCTGCTTGGAAAAGCTTCTAGACGGTCTGCATCACCTTTAATTTCTATGGATGCTGATGATCCTGCAATAGAAAATAAGGTATTGGAATCACCTTGGTTACTTTCCTTCGCGGTGTCCCCCTAAAATTAGTACAAGAAATGCATAACAAATTGTGAAGGATTTTTTTTGAATATTTTCAGCATTTGCTCGAAAAGAATTCGCAAAGTTCTACTTCAACACAAACTAGTATGAATATGGATATGCTTCTTACTAAAAATGATGAGGTAACAACTACTTTTAATTGCTCTCTTGCCAGCGCACTATTTCTGTTCACTATACGCTGTGAGTACGTCTACATTGTTCTCACACCAGCAGGACCTCGCCGAAGGTGTTGAGGTAACACATGTGCAAGCTTGCACCGTTGAAGAGTTGGGTGACCATGAATCAACTAAGTTGTTGTACAAGGTCAGAGAACGTGATGAAATTGCTGATGAGAATTCTACTAGGAGCGAGGAAGGTAAGTATTGCATCTTAAAGTACATGCATGCGTTCATGGTACAGGGTTCATTTCAGGCGTTCAAAATATAACATGTATTTTCTTTGCAAAAGGAGTGATTGCGTGTTCATGAATAGTTAAAAGTAGAATGTACATTACATCTACATCACATTTAGTTGTATGATGTGTTGAAGAAGCAACTACAAATTGAGTGCATTGTACTGCTATTTTTTCCGAGGAAAGACCTAGTTCTTTTGGACAAAAAAGTAATGTCTTGTAGTCGTAGCAGTGTAATCGGGAGCACAACTGCTCATAAGGTGGAAGAGGGCTCGACTGCCTTGGGCGAAGTATTTCACTCATTACTCCGCATTTTTTTTATAGTATTGCGTTTTCAGAGTGTACCTCGAAGACTTCGGAAGCTTTCTCAATCAATGATCGCGTTCAGTCGTACAATGTTGCTGTCGAAATCGATTTGAAGGGAACCAGTGAGGATATGCCCACATCCAACGCCCACACCAGTGCTGAGCCTATCTCTACTAGAAGTTTCGCTGAAGTAACAGAGGAAATCGTTCGAAAAAGTCAGAATGTAGTCGATGTGTGGACTGATGGCCAGGAAAGACCGAAAGAGACTATTCAAGAGTGTGCTCAGGAAAAGCCTACATCGCCTTTGAAGACGGAAATACGTACTATCAGTTTTTCCCTACGTGATGAAGTTGCCGAAAGCATGGATACAGTTGAACATCTCGAAGAGGAATCAAATTTTTGCGTCTGTTCTGTAGAAGCACGTTCGTCAAAACAGTCTTGCAGTTTCCAACCTGAAGATACTATGGAGCAGGTAACTCTATGGTGAGTTTAGTTTTGCAGTACTTTTTCATATATTATTGACTACCGGACTTGAAAACCTGTAGCGATCTGGGCCGTAAGGTATGCTTCCCCGAGTAGGAGAGGCACCCCTCCTTGGTAAGGAATGCTCTCCCGGAAAACTCTCGGGGCATGCAATGGTTCTCGGGTGTGTCTCCCGGCCTGCATGTCAACGACAGGTATATCTCCTCGTCGCATCTCACCAGGAACGGATGATTGGTCGAAGTGGCCATATGTAAAGAGACCTACACCGTGGATGCGTTTTTGGACGCTGATCTCGAATCTGCTTTCCAAATCTGCCAAACGATTTTCCGAATGGAGTTATGAAGGAAAGTAGTGCAGCGGTAGTAGTCCGGGTTCACGTGCGAGACGTCGTAGGATCGATTCCCTGGCGGGTTCTCTTTTTTGCCTTCGCTGCAAAATGATTGAAAAGGCTCCCAGCTACCTTACTCGATCAATGCTTGCCTGTAGTTACCCGTGCAAAGACTTTGCGAGGAGTTTCTAATCAGTTTCGGCGGTACTTACTAAAGACTGCACATGGAGCCCACAGAACTCTTGGCAGACGTTTTTGCAGCAAACAAGTGTGATATTCGTGTTCCGGAGATTAAAATACCCCTAGAGACAAGTTTGTAGCCAAATTTGAGATTTCGACCAAATTTCGAAATAGGCTGGGTGGGTATCTATCCATTCATCCATCAGCCTATCATCGAAGCCTATATAGCCTTGAGACGATATAAGTTTTTTTTGGTTTCTGAAGAGTGTAAAGCAGTGTCTGGTTTTCTGTTCGCGTGATTTCAACACCCACATTTTATTATTTTCAAATTTAAAGGGTCGCCGTCGTCCAAAATAGGTCAACCCTGGAACTACCGGCTATGGATATGTAGCATCAATGAGTGACTCGCCCACTTTTTTTGAAGTTAATTCAAAATCTCGAATTTTTCTAGAAATTGGCCCCAGGAGTTATTGGACTACTTGAACACAGATCTCAACAACAGCACATCTCTGATTCGTTCACTCAAAAACGGCTGAAGCGCGCGCTCCGTATACTGGCGCGCCTTAACCTTATGTAGTGGCATGCAAGTTAGGAAAAATTTCGAAGTTATCGACCTCAAACTCATCCAAAAGCAAGTAGGGCTGACCAATGATGAAGGAATCATGTTTCACTACTGCCAAATAGTCAGTCACAAAAATGCAAAAGAAAAACACGCGGCGGATCCGAACCACTGACCCGAAATCCCAAGCCCACCACCTTAACCACTAGGCCACCAGCACCCGATCGAGGCTCACTGCTTCGTTCACAAGCCGCTGCTGCTGAGGCCGATTCCTCACTGTGTTAAACTGTGTGAGGGAACAAAAAACCTCCGTAACTCCGTTCAGCGAATCGTTTGGCAGATTTGGGAAGAAGATTCGAGATCAGCGTCCGAAACCACATACCATGATACTTGTCTCATTTCATATGGCCACTTCGACCCTTCATCCTTCCCTAGTCAGATTGGGAGATATCCCCGAGAACCGGTGGGTGTGCCCTTCCGCGAGAGTTTTCGGAACGGCATACCTCACCAGGGAGGGGTCCCTCTTTTGTTCCGGGAAGCATATCTTACGGCTGCTAGTGAGGCAAAAATTGCTACAGTCGGTTTGTGCCTCGACTATGCTCTAGGTGTTCTTAGTGCTTGAGTCCATCAGTTTTTTGCCAGTGTATATATCATATATTCTTGTAGCTCATCGGCACTCAAGACATCTCTTCCTGCCAGCAGTTCACCAAAAACGGCAAAGGCTAATAAGTCTGTTCGTTTTAAAAACGTCAATGTTTACTACTTTGCACGAACTCAAGGATCTTCTACTGTGCCGAAAAGCGGCGAAGTTTCATTAGGTAATTACATATTTTTTTGAAACAAGCAAAAGCTTAGGGATTCTTTCCTTTATCCTCGTTTTTTATTCTCGTTTGTACCCTTTTCGAGTTCGGGACTCGCGCCTAGCGCCAACTTCTCCTTCTCTACCATTCCTTCCAACCTTGCTTGCCTCACCGTTACTTCCTTCGTTGTAGGGTTTGCATCTAAATGAATTTGATGGTCTCTTCTGTACAGGTATGGTAGACAAACATTTCACGAAAAGACAGTTTCCTCTCTGGTTTGGTCGCCGTCCGGAGTTGACACTTACTCATGACAATGAGGTAAACGTTTTTGCTGTGCTAGCTCTGATGGATGATGAAAATTCGCTTCACTTACGCATTTTGAATTTCATGAATTATAAGGGGTCTTCAAGCTCTCCGATAACGTGTGCTAAAATTTAAGGAAAGTTTATCTGAGGGTGAAGATCCAGGAGACATATTCGACCCGGAAGGGACATGAACGCTGCACAGCATATCAATTACCAACACTGGAAGGCAAGGCTCGCATAAAGATGTTAAAACGCTCAGGAGTTCAAGTTCAGAAGGCAAGAATTCTACTACTTTTCGAGTATTCACGTTCTTTCCTTTTTATCGCCTCTGATATCTTTGCTTTTTTACAGTTCTCTAATGTTGTATCATCAATTTAAAAAAATTATCAAGAAGCCAGAATTAATTGATGCCAAATTCAGGATGACGGCATGGAAAGTTTGGAATCGATTAGGAAGTCCCGCCTGTTGTGTGGATGTCAGTGCGAGAATGGCGTTTGTAATCCAGAGACTTGTCAGTGTGCTGCAGAAGGAATAGTCTGCCAGGTGAATTTTCCAGTGCTCTACAGTTTATTTACATAATGATCAGGAGCGTATTAGGCCCGAGTAAAAAAATACGCTTGAGATTCCTTCGCTGTT